ATCCCCTCCATTTCAGAATGACTTAAAACATGTTTGCTACCACATCCTCACTGCTACTTTTGTGCTAGCCCTGATATATTATTTTCCAATGACTTTTCCTGCTTAAAATGCCATCTGCCCCTTTTCTTTCTATATATTCTCGTGTATGATTTGTACATGATTCCTTAAGGGGATCCAGTATGGTTTTATATATCTGATTTTTCTCTTTTCTAGTGTGGGGTGTGGGGAGGAAGGAAGAAAAAGAGTTTTGTAATATCAAATTCCAGCCTTGGTGATGTTTGAACAACTTGACTTTTATAGAAGATTCTTACCAGGAGATTTTTTTCTGCTCATCAGCAACAAAAGGGAAAAGACAAGGTGTTGCCAATGTTGTGCGTGTGTGTGAATGTGTGTCGATATGGGTGTTTATAGAGACTACATTTCTCTCCCCCATCCCACCTCCTGTTAGACGAACTTCTGCACCGGAGCATCCTTGTTCAAAATACAAACGAATGTAGAATTAATACAACCAAATTACCTATGGAACTTGCATCAAGAATGTAATTTTCTCTCTCCATGTATTAAATTATTTGACAGTCCAGAATACAGTAATATAAACCTTACCCCTTTGTTTGGCTTTTATTGTTAATGTTGCGCCTGGCCAATCTTCATCCTGCTGTGTCCATTGCTTTGTTGTGAAGGGTGCTGTGAGGATCTCACGATAGTCCCTCTAAGTTCAGTTCATCTCAGGAACCTTAACTGCGCTCTGCAGCTTGGTGGGCTGGCCTTTTTTTTTTTTTTTTTTTTTAAGCTGGCCTCTCAAGCTTTGCATGAGCAGGAGCTAAGGGGGTTTTTTTGGGGCGGGGGGGTGTTAAGGGTCCAACTGGCAAGGAGATTTCTCAGTCAGGTCTGGCTTTAGAGATGTGACCGGAAAGTTGGGCGCCTTCTAAACATCTTGCTTTTTTTCTTCTCATTAGAGGGGACAAGATTGAAGCTGCATTCATCATTTGTGCATTGTTTGGGGAGGAACTCTGTGATTTAAGGAAGGGATGAGGCAGCTGTCGGGGGATCAATCGGAGCTGAAGACAGAGAGCTGTCGCTTTGGGTTTGCAGGCCTGAGACCGATGACTCCCACAGGGCACGACCAGGGCCTGCCTGGTCACAGTCCTCTTCCTTTGGATGATCTCCTGTGACGGTTTGCCCACCTTCCCTCATAGATAGCTGGTATATTTTCTGCAGGGAATCTCTCTCTCTCTCTCTCTCTCTCTCTCTCTCTCTCTCTCTCTCTCTCTGTGTGTGTGTGTGTGTGTGTGTGTGTGTGAGAGAGAGAGAGAGAGAGAGAGAGAGAGAGAGAGAGAGAGAGAGAGGTGGCACAGTTAATGAACAAGCTCTGCTGTTTCAACACCATGTCTAGAATTGCTGGATTTGGTGAGGGGTGGAAGGTCCCAGTTGCTACTGCAATGCATCAGTTTGGTTTGCTTCCAAGGAACTAGAAAGTGTGGGTTGGGGAATCAAAATAGACCTGAAGGCATTCCACAACTACAGGCCCAACCCGAGATCCATTGGCTGTTTCCCCCATGCCAGGAGTGAGCTTGCTTTTACTCTTGATAGCCTTTTGTCTAGGTGTGGGTACCTTTGTTACTCTTATGACTGGCACATCTAGCAAGGCAAATAGGAGCTGCTTATATCTATGAGCATCTTGCCACTGGCCCCTGCAGACTGTGTCTTGTACTTTTGGGGTAGGCTCAGGGTTCTGTGCCTACACTTTGTACAAGGCAGATTGGGGAAGCCATGTCTTTAAGTGTGGGAACGAGGAAGGGGAAAGAGAAGTGGACCCTTCTGGTTTGGGATTGTATCCAATATTAGTTCTCCTTAGAGCAGATCCACTGAAATGCATTAAAATTGACTGACTTCATTTGCAACATTTACCTCCTGGAAGAACTTTGAATAAAGGTGGAGATTTGCGCTATCAGCATAAATGGTTGTGCTAGGTGCCTCCTTGCACTGCAGATCCAAGAGAGTCACTTCATGTAGATGACAGCTAAAAGGAGGAGCAGGGTCCTCCAGAAGAAAGATTGGTCTCATCCAAGGGACAGATGCTGCTGCAATATGAGTCAAATTCTAGCTTTGCCAGCCAGTCTCAGCTTTAGAATGTGTGCACTTTTTCTGTAGGTCCACTTGAACATTGGAGTCAATCTTCTGTGCTGCTTTTTTACTGGGGTAGGGGCAGAAATCTTTTAAAAGAAGAAACATTCAAGAATGGAAAAAATTACATAAGAGAAATATATTGTATATACCAATAGTGAATTCCTTCTCTGTATGCCCATCTTTTTGTAGCAAAAATGGCACTGGCAAGAAGGGGAGATAAGAACAGTCTTGGGGGATTACCAAAGTCTGCAGCAGTAGCAAAAGAGTTTAAGGAGGGAAACCTGAGAGAACCACCCACTCCCCAACTGAAAAATAGCCACGTGAGAACTGGATATGGAGGTGCTTGGGCAGGCATGGAAGTGGGCAGAATGAAATGTAGTATCCTAAAAGAAGGTAGTGCATTGCTGGTTGGCATCCCGAGCTTTACACTGCAGCGTTTTGTGCCAGATCCTACATGCGTTTAAAACAGGCTTTGCCTTTGGAAATACGGATGGTCCACAACTCAACCCTTTTTGAAATTCTTGTCTCCTACATTCACCATTTTCTGGAATTGTGTTATGTGGGTTTAAGTAAAAGTTGCTGTTTCTGAAGCTTGTTCCCAGCTGCCTGTGTTCAGGCCAAGGCACCTTCCTTGAAGGAACTCTGCAGGATTCCTGAAGTTACTGGATTTGAACCAAATCTCTGCAAAAGAGATTTATTGCTTTATGATCTTCCAAAATGTAGCTGCACACATCAGCATAAGTCTCCATGACATGTGCAGAGGTTTCGACTCAGTTGCCTAAAGGGTGCCTTCCAACTCGATGATTCTAGATTCTCATAAGGAGTCAGTGGTTGCAGCAGAAATGTACCTGTCTAAACTGTCTGGATTGTGAGTGATGGCTAGTCATGTGCAATGAGCCATGTCCTTCAGTTTCCAAAGACGTCTTCAGGTCTTGTGAACTGATTCACCCTGAGACCTCGATCCTAACATAGGTGGAAGGAGGAATTCTGGCTACTGAAATCATGAAGGCCCCTTGCTCTAATAGTATCCTATCCTATCTTTTATGTATCGCTCTTTCATAGGACTTGGGCGAACAGAGGATCCCTACTGCCTTCCTCTTCTCTTCTGCGCTTAAGCTTGAAATCTCAATCCACATCCCCTTGAACCCTGGGGCCGGACTCCTAGGGACTGAGAGCAAAGACAGAATCGCATCAAAAGGAACTCCAGTGGCTTCTTCCACATACAGGTGTGGATTGCAGCCTGTGGCTTCGAATCACCGATGCTGGAATCATCCTATGCAATCATGGACTAATTGCATTTCTATCTCGCCAGTCCTTCCTCCTCTAAAACGACAGCAGCAACAAAAATCCTCACAACAACCTTGTGAAGCAAGTTAGACTAAGACAGGGCATGAGGAGCCTGGAGTAAAAATAGGTGGCCACCTGGCGCAAGCAGCACAGCACCTCCCTGACGTTTGTGACTGCGACCCTTATCATGCCTACAGACTGGTCCTACTGACTGGGCCTGATGGGAGTTGAAGTCGAGCCACGTCTGACGGCGCCAGGTTGCCGTGGATGGAACTGGAGCGCAGCGCTCCCTGCTTTGCCCGGGAGCTGCCAGCAGCCCTCGCGATCGCGGCCGCGGGGCGCACGCGGCGGCGGGGGCGAGGCAGGCTCGCCTCTTATTGGTTACCTGCGTGAGGAGCCCCAGGCAGGAGGGGGCCCCCAGCAGCCCCTCCCCGCTCCCGCCGCCGCTGCCAGGCTTTCATCGCCGCCGCCCCCCGGGCGCCAATCGCTGCGCTTTCGGGCCCCTCTTTGAATATGCAGCCCGACGTCATCCCCGAAGGTGGACCGCCAAGGGCTATATAAACCGGTCCAAGGCCGGTAATAGTTGACAAGAGGCGGCACGGGCAGGGCGGGCTGCGGATCCTCGCCTCGAGGAGGGTGGCACGGATGGGTAGGGGCTTCTTTGACAACCGAGCCGAGGAGGAAGTGTGGGCGGCGGGCGGGCGGACGAGGCGGGAGGGAAGAAGGACGCCGGACAGGCAGCCTCCCAGGCGCCCGCTTGCAAGGCACGTCCGGGATAGCAAGCGAGTTGCGTTGCTTCCCAGCCAGGGACCCGACGGGTGCTGTGAGCGGCAGCCCTCGTGCCCCGCTGAGAAGCGCACGCAGCAGCTGGGCGTCCCTGCCTGGAGGAAGCGCCGCTGCGTTCAGCGAGCTCGGAGCCTCGCCTCGCCTCGAGGTGTCTCCACCCTCCCGCAGGTAGCCGCCCGGCCTCCTCCGGGAGGTGCAGCACCGACGCCACCTCAGCGCCCGCGAGCGAGGCTGGGGCAGCCGGAGAGCGTCACGAGCGCTCGCAGATGCGGACGCCGCTCCCAGTGAGGAGCCGGCTCGACGGGGCCCCGTTAAATTCACGTCCTCTTCATCGCGGTCTCGCCCGCGCCCCGTCTTTGGGCCTGGCGGGGCCTTGCCCGGCGAGTTGGGGGCGCCGTTGGAAGCCTCGCAGCTCGGCTTCTTAGCTAAACTGCACCACTCGCCCTCCAAACCCCAGCCCGACATGGGATGCCGCGGGATCCTTCGCGGGCGGCGGCGTGGAGCCTCCTTTCACAGCCTTCCCTCTTTCCCCCCAAGCCAGCCGGTGAGCCCCCCGCGGAGATGCTGCGGAAGCCGAGCGCCCAGCAGATGCCGGCGGCGGACGCGCTCTCCTGGCTGGAGACGGCGCTGGCCGCCGCCGCGGCGCTGGCGCTCCTGCTCGCCCTGGCCCGGCACCTGTGGGCGGTCCGCTGGAGCCTGAGCCGGGACCGCACCAGCGCCCTGCCCCTGCCCGAAGGCTCCATGGGCTGGCCCTTCTTCGGCGAGACGCTGCACTGGCTGATCCAGGTGAGACCGTCCGGTGGAGCGGGCAAGCGTCTCGGCTGAGCGCCGCCCGCGCTCCCGGAGGCGCAAGCGCCGGGCGAAAGGCACTCTGCACATGTCCGGAGGTCGCCCTGTGCTCTCGCTGAGCCTTGATTCGCGTTTTCCTGACAGGCGCTTCCGTCCCAAGGAGGGGCGGCCGCAGGCCCCGGCCCAGCCTGAGCGACAGCCGACCATGCGGTGTGTCTCACTGGGAACCGCTTCCACGCCATTCCGGGGCGCTGATCTTCCAGTAGGACGGCTGTCGCGATGTGCCCAAAGAGAGCCGGGTGTCGGGCCCTAAAAACAGAGAAATAAAATAGTTCAGTCTTTCATTACCCCGCATTTGGGGAGCGAGTGGAGGGGGGTTGTGGTTCTCCAGAGGGAGGAAAGGGGCCCTTCCCGCTTCATCCTGATTTGTCTTTCACCACTTGTGCTGCAGCTGAATGCGAGCCTTCAATGGTGTTCTGTTTCCAGATGTGGGGTCCTATTCCTGCGGACGCCAAGGCACTCTGAACCTGCTCAGAGGCAATCTCATTTTATGGTGCTCTCCAGTTGCTGTGGGACTTGCAAAAGGGAACTGACACCCAGGTGGACTGGGGCTTTCTCTTTGGCTTATGAGGACTTAGCACAAGACAATGGGAGAGGCACTCTACACTTGCTCAGAGGCACCCTTGACTTATTGTTTAGCTGGTCTGAATCTCTCTCTCTCTCTCTCTGTGCATGTGCGTGTGGTTTGCTCTGCAGGGTTCCAGCTTCCACAGCTCCCGGAGGCAGCGCTATGGCGCTGTGTTCAAGACGCACCTGCTGGGCAAGCCAGTGATCCGGGTGAGTGGTGCTGAGAATGTGCGCAAGATTCTGCTAGGTGAGCACAGCCTGGTGAGCGCCCAGTGGCCAGTCAGCACCCAGATCCTGCTAGGTGAGCACACTCTCCTCAACGCCAGCACTGACACACACCGGCAACGCAGGAAGGTAGGTGGGGGGGGCAAGGGGGCGGGGCGTTTATGTTCCTAATCTTCCTAGTTATGTTTGCACTAAGTGCTGTACAGAAGGTGTGACCACTCCCGGACTACACGTTGGAATGATTCCCTGATAGACTCCCGCTGGGCGCTGCTGAGATGGTACTGGAGAGAAAGTACTGGGGAGGGTGTTGCCAATAGAAGGTTGTCCCCAGAGAAGGGGCACCGAGCAGGCTGTGTCTGTGTGCTGGAAGTTGAAGTCCAACACCTCTGGAAGGCACAAGTTTCGTGATTGCCTGACATAGTTTGGTGTTGCTGAACGACGTTGTTTTGGTGGGGTTACACATTTGAATGCCCTCCCATTTACAAAGAAAAGAGGTGAGATTCTTTGAGCATAGACAAGCCTTCTCCAACCTGGTGCTCTTCGGATGTGTTGGCCTACAACTCCCAGCAAATAGACATCTAACCTCTCAGGAACAACTTCACTACCAAGGCTTCCCTATGCATTGGAGAACATTCAAACTTGCTGCCTCACTCTCATGGACACACACACCTGCACCCTGAAGTGGTGCAATGCAGCAGAAGTTCATGAGAGTTCTAGATTTGTACAAAACAGCCCTCCATGCCTCAAGATGAGAATGGAGAAAGAGCTTGGGTCTGCTGAAGGGATCCTGGTGGGGCTGGTGGCGTTCCTAGTTGTTCCAGCTTGTATCTTGGCACACTGTCTTTCCCTGACTTCCAGCTTCTCTCTGCCTCTTTCTTGGTTTGCTGCTGCAGATCTTGACCCGAGTGTTCAGCCGTGCTGCCCTGGAGGCCTATCTGCCTCGTATTCAGAGAGTTGTGAGCTGGGAGCTGCAGGGCTGGTGCCAGGCACCTGGCCCCATCGCAGTCTATGCTTCTGCAAAGACCTTGACTTTCCGTATTGCAGCTCAGATCCTGCTGGGGCTCAGGCTGGATGAGAAGACTTTTCAGGAGCTGGCACAAACCTTTGAGCAGCTGATGGAGAATCTCTTCTCTTTGCCACTTAACATCCCCTTCAGTGGTTTGCGGAAGGTACAGGCTCTGTGTATGTGTGTGCTCTCTTGGAACCAGTCTTCCAGATGCAGGGCCTGCTTTAATGCTGAGGCAAAGGCACTCTGTACCAGCTCAGAAGCATCATGCTTGCCTTGTCTCTCCATCTATGTATTTACTGGGGCTCTTTTAAACTTGCTTTTTCAATGGCATGAATTCCTAAAGCAATACCTCCTAGAAGTACAGAACTTTGGCTACTGGGTGTTATATAAATACACTAAATGAATAAATACATGAGATTCACTGTATGAGTGAAACAACCATTTTTAAAAGTTTTTTTTTAAAATACTGTGCTAAATAATAGCAATTGCAACTACTATTATGGTTTCATTCTTTTAAATTAATTTGCACCTGTGTGTGTCTTTTAAATTTTTGCTTAATTTTAATGTTTGTTAACTATCCAGAGCGCCTTGGCCATTGAAACAAACTAACTAACTAACTAACTAACTAACTAACCAGACTAACATTTAATATCACCTATTGGCAGATCTCTGATTTGCAGTAGGTCTGCAGGGGCTTCTGACTCCCCATTGTTTAACAGTAGCAATAAGAAAAATTTCCATCTTTGCCACCCTTCACTGAAACAATGAAAGCTCGGGAGGTGGGGAATACCAAGAGTGAATTTTTATGTGAGGAAGGATGGTGAGTCCCATTCTGAAAGCAGATTCCCAGTCTATGCCATGCGCTCTACATAACCCTCTTTCTTACCTCTTTTTGATGTATTTTATCCTGAACCATCACTTTGCACCTGATTCCAGTTGGGATGTGAATTATGAGGTTATAGGCAGGACCAGACTAGATCAGAGAAGCCTGAAGAATGCCCAGCCTTGGACCACCTGGACCAACTAGGGGCTTTACGATGCTATATTATGCTATGTATAGTACTACCATACTATGCATGTTTAGACAAGTATAGGATTGCATCCTTAACTGAAGGCTAGTCACCTCCTTGGTTTCACAATTTCTTCAATCACCAGCAGACAAATTATTTATTTATTTATGACATTTTTATGCCATCCAATTACTAATGTCTCTGGATGGCTAACAGCCTAAATAAATTGACGACCCACTCTTGCTGCAAATACAATAATAAAATCCAATATTAAAACATATTAAAATATTGATTAAATAAAAAGGTCTTAACCTGGCACCAAAAAACATTTATTGATGGCGCCAGGCAGACCTCTCTGGAGAGCGCATTCAGCTGTTGCCTATAATGGAAACCCCTTTTGGGAAATGTTTCGGGATCCTCAGGTATTTCCATGCCTTGAACACTAGCCCTGGAATTTCCATGAGGTAGGCTGAAGGATTTTACCCTTCTGAAAAAGGAAATGGTTGGAGAACCATGCTATAACTCCTTTGAGAAGGAGGTTAAGTATTGTAGCCCGAGAGCAGTCTGGGGCTGATGGGAGATGTATTCCAACACATATGTTGGTTGGGAAGGGCTGATCTAATGTCTTGAAAATGTTGAGGAATCCTTCACCTTGTATTGGTGAGTATAGAAGCACAGATACTGCAGTACAGTCTGCTAGGGCTTAGTTGCATTTTGCTGTAATTGCACCCTTTGGCCCATGAGCTTAAGTGGGTGTCAGATTTTTCTTGGGGAAGATCTGTTTTACTGACAGTCCAGAGCCAGATGACCTCATGATGATGAGATCCATGAAGCATCTCTTGGAGTTAACTTAAGCTGAGCTCCTATCCAGGAAGTACAGTAATGGAGATTCTGAATGTTGCATAAAATAACAACTTGCTTTCAAGGCATCGTCACACCTCCAAGCTAGACCTGTGTGTGTGCATTTCTTGTTCAAACCTCTATGCTAATTTTTCTCTGAAAGATCCCATTTGACATCCCCTCAGGGAATCAAGGCCCGGGATCTTTTACATGAGTACATGGAAAAAGCTATTATGGAGAAACTGCAGTGGAAGAATCCAGAAGCTCCTAGCGATGGTCTGGATTTCATCATCAGCAGTGCCAAGGAGCATGGCAAAGAATTCACCATGCAGGAGCTGAAGGTAATAAAGAAAGCATCTTTTGGCTGCTGGTGTGTGTGTGTCTGTAGAAATGTTTCAGGCAAGGCTTACTTGTACCTTGCCTGCTTGAAGGCAACTGCTTCATTCTCAGCAGGACAGAATCAGCCCCACTGCACATAATGAGCTAATAAAGGTGCAAGTGGTCCGACCATGTGCTGACAGGTAATTTCCATGTGTAATCACAGGCCTAAAATTCTAGCAGGCATCTGGTACATCATCTGTTTGAAATTAAAAAGAGAACAAGCCATCCTTGTGGTGAAATAATCCTCACTAGAATTGGCATAATTCTTCACTTCTTGGCAACTTTTCTATGGTGTTTAGTCTCTCCATATTGACAGTTATGCTGGGTGCGAAACAGGCTACCTGTCTGTTTATTTCTTACATTTCCATACTGTTTTTCCTTTGGAAATTCTAAGTTGCTTCCTGGCAGGCTAAGTTCTGCCCACTCGAAAGCAGCATCCTCAGCCTGGTGCCCTCCAAAGATCTTAGCCCCAGCCAGCACAGTCAGTGGTCAGGAATACTGGGAGTTTCAGTCCAAAACACCCAGAACATGCCACGTTGTGGAAGTCAGTAAGTGTCATTATCACAGCAGAAGTCAGCTTGGGCTGGCTGCGCATGGGCTTTACAGAACATTTCTACCCCCACCCCAAAAAACCCCCCTTATTGAATCCCATTTTGTTTCCAACAGCCAATTCTTGTGCAACAGGAATATGAAAGTCCAAACAGATTAGAATCCCAGCATGACAGTGTTTGAAACTGAGGTGAGGTGGGAATATATTGCATCATATTACTTATTTAAATTGCAACCTGACTGGAAGTAAATCAGGATTCCTTGGAAATTCAATCATACCTCAGCTATATTTGTATTGGGACCAAGCAACATGTCATAGAAATTTGTGGATGCTTTTGAGTACTCTTGGATTCTTAGGCAGTCCAAGGAGTGCAAAAAGGAGGGGATGGGGATTAGAATTGGGGTGAGTGGGGGTGGGGGAGAGATACCAAAGAGGTAATATAATAGGTTAGATATTCTGCTCATGGGAGTCTGCATAATTGGTAATCCCCAGTCTGAAAATGGGAATTACAGATGGAATGATGTAATTGTTGTGAGGTGCTGCACATACTAGATGTTCTTATTTTCATTCATTCATTCATTTTAAAATAATTAATTCTATTTCTAGAATTAGGGTATAGCCAAAGCTTGCTGGGTGGTTCACAAAGGTAAGTGTATGAGAGAGTGAGAACCAGAGCTGTGACCCGCAGTCATAAATGAAAAGGCCTTTTGGTGCTGACTGGGAATGATGGGAGTTGTAGTGCAATCTATCTGAGGGGTACCAGGTTGGGAGAAGGTTGGTTTAGAGAGTTGCTTGCCTCTGAAAATACAGTTCAGCTGCTCTGGAGTGTATCATTCACTGAAGTGATCATGATGATCATACACGCAAGAGGAAGGACACGTACCCTTGCTCTATTAACAAACAGGATGGTTGAAAAGAGCAGTGAGGGTCTGGCCTTTTCCACATCTATTCAATTCAGACAGAGAGGATCTGGTACCGAACAGTGATCCTTTCCACTTAAACAGTTTGGAGGGGAACTGTGTCTGTTGGAGAGGCCTGTGTCTGGAGTGATCCCTTGCACTTGGCTTGGGCTTTGTTTTAAGATATTTGAAGGCAATGGGCAAGATGGAGACTAAGTCATACTTAGAGTAGACTAATTGAAAGCACAAGCATTTAAGTTAGTTATGACTAATTTCAGTCCCACTGATTTCTATGGCTCTACCCTATATATTGCTCAAAATTACGGATTCATTCTCTACCAGATCTCCCCCACAACACCAATCAGATTGAATTGAATTATAATACACAGTCTTAAACAAAATCTACTTTTCTTTAAATATCATGCCAAAATGAATGAATAAATCAAAGGAGCAAGCTCAATGCCATTTACAGTCCTAACCACATTCTAGAGGCCAATTTAAATTGAACTCAGTGGTTCTTCTTTCTATGCAGAGCACTTGATTACTGCTAACTGCCAATTGCAAACTGCATTGATGGGGCTAATCTTGGAAGCAAGGAAAGAATCTGGCTTAGGGCTATGAGGCAGTTTTGACTTTCACTTTGACACTTGAAGTCCATTGGAATGGTCAGGAGTAAATGTTTCCAGGATCCAGATAATAAACAGAACCACATGAGCTCATTGATGGGATCTCATATGACATACACAGTTGTTTAAACTGGTAAGAGGCAAAAAACCCAACCCAAAACAAAACAAAACAAAACATTTTGGATATGCAGCTCTTAAGAGAATAAAAAGTCATGCAGGCACACTGTAACATCAAGTGGTTTTGCTGAAATGAATGATCATACCAATCTGAACAGCCATTTTGATATAGGGCAGGGACAGGCAAGATTTTTGGGCCATGGCATATTTGACAGTTTGAGAAACTGTCCACAAAATAAGAACCTAAGAAAAGCCGTGCTGGGTCAGACCAAAGTCCATCTAGTTCATTACTCTGTACACAGGTTGGCAAGCCAGCTGCCCACAGGATCGCTCAAGCGGGATGGGGGCAAGACCTCCTCCTGCCCAAGCTCCTCAGCAACTGGTGTGTGCAGCAGGCCGCCTCTGGCTATGCATGTGAGGGAGCACATACATAGCCAGCAAAGCTAGTAGCCAGTGACAGCCTCCTTCCTCATGAATCTGTTCAATCCCATTTTAAAGCCATCCAGATTGGTGGCCATCACCACTTCCCATAGCAGCCAATTCCGTAGTTTTACTATATGTCGTGCGAAGAAGTACTTCCTTTTATCTGTGCTAAACCTCCCGTCAATCAGCTTCATGAGGTATCCCTGGGTTGAAGTGTTATGGGAGATGGAAAAAAGCCTCCCTCTCCTTTCTTCACACCATGCATTATTTTAAACACCTCTGTCATGTTTCCCTTTACTTACCATCTTTTCTATGCTGAACTGTCCCAGTTGTTGTAGCCACGCCTCATAAGGAAGCTGCTCCAGCCTCTGATCATTTCTGTTGCCCTTCTCTCTCTACGTTGAATGGTTGAATGAGGCGTGGCAAAGAATGCCATTCATTCTCTAATGGCTGCCATGAGGCGTGGCAAAGGACCGGTAAACTGCCCCCAAAATTAAGTTCTAACCAGGGTGGGTGGGGATGGAGTTAGGTCTGAGTTTCAACACACTGAACAGTTTGATGTCACTGTTTTCAGCACCAACAGAAACATATTTCACAGCAAACCTGGCTGCTTGTAAGATGTTTGTTTGTTTTCGTGGGCAGGGCTGGGCACCTGGGTTGCTGCTGCAAAAGTTGCCAGGCAGCATTGGTGCACACGGGCAACACATTGCCCACCCATCATCTTGTTCAGCTTTTCTCATCTTGGTCACAGCATGGGAATGATGAGAGCTGGGGAAACCTGACAGAGAGAGAAGAAATTTTCTGTACTCCTCGATTGCCGATTTTTCTGACACTGGGCTTGCTGCAGCCAAAGTTAATCTTCCTTTCCAGTTCCTTTCTCCTGTCTGGGTTGCTTCCACATCCATTCAGTGCCATGTTAAGAAAGGTGCACATTAGCAGAGTAGGATGTTAAAGTCCAGGGTTCCAGCTAGCTACCCTTTTCCTGGCTACTCTTTCCATCCCCACACAGGCACATGGTATTCTGGGCCACTGAGTGCAGTCAGTCTTCATTAGGCTGCCTATTTTATATCGGTGTCTTGCTTTTTTCCTGCAGTTTACATGGGTAGACTGAGAACCAATGACTGGCCCAAAGTCACCCAGTGAGCTTCATGGCCTAGTGGGAAGTCTCAGTCTGACACTCTAAGCACTACTATGCCATACAAGCTCTATAGCTGTTGCTCCCACTTTTGTCCTCCTCAGGTTCCCCTAATATAGTTTCTACTTTGGCAGACTCCAAGCGTGCAGGTGCCCCTTTTCATTTCTCAGCAGCCTCTTCCCTTTGTCCATGCAATCATCCCATCCTAAGAGTGGATCTTTGCCTCCAGACCCCTGGCTGGCCTTCTCCCTCTTCCTTATGTTGGCTGTTTCCTTTGCCAGTTTTGAGACATAACTGAAATGCTTCATGGTTGATGGAAAACCATCTGGTTCCCAAAATAACTAAGGAGGATAGGGTGGTTTCCAATGCCGTATTTAAATTCTAATCACAAGAAGTAAAGATGAGATGAAAATACCAGTGGATTCCCATGTAAAATTACTTGTGGATGTCATATATGTTAAAAATTGTGGCGAGGGGCTGGTCTGAATGATCCATTTCTCTTAATGGCTCATTTTGCAGGAGTCTGCAATTGAGCTGATCTTTGCAGCTTTCTTCACCACTGCCAGTGCTAGTACTTCCATGATTCTCTTGCTATTGAAACATCCCTTGGTCATAAAAAAGATCCAGCAGGAGCTGGCATCCCATGAGCTCACCAGACTGTGCTGCTGCTTTGCCACTAAGGAACCTCTGACATGCCGTCAGCTTGGACAACAGACCTTGAATATCCTGAATATCCATGGAAATGAAAAGAAGGACGGGGATTCCAAGCTGTCCCTTGCATCCAGAATGGAAGGAGAACTATTCAGAGAGACAAACAAGGAAGGGAGAAGCCCCAACTTGCATCTGATTGTTAGACCATCACAGGAAGCCATCTGTGGTGGGACTATAAACTATCCTCACTCTGAGCTTAGACAAGATGAAGCAGGCAGGCTCCTCAGCAGCCTGGAAAGACCTGAGTGCTATTGCCAGCCTAACTTGACCTTGGAAAAGATGAGCCGCCTGCGCTACTTGGATTGTGTCATCAAGGAAGTGCTGCGTTTGCTGCCCCCGGTGTCCGGTGGTTATAGGACAGCCTTACAAACCTTTGAGCTAAATGTGAGTTGGGTGTGGCTTGGTGCATTGGTCCCTTTTGTACATGCATGTGGAATGTGTCTGATTGGATGGGGTCATGGGAAGCACTCCTCCAAGTGATGCTAGAAATGCTGCTTCTTGAGAGACAGGCATTGCTGAGCACTTCAAAGATTCAGGGTCCACACCCAGAGGAAGCAAATGTGCATACCATCAGCACATGCTAATTTGTATCTGTATATGCAAACTGAGAAATAATTATTAAGATTTATTAATATTTCACAGGAGGTAAAGCCAGTCAATTTCTTACCTTATTTATTTATTTAAAGTTTTTATAAACCGTTCTTTAGGGAACACTCTCAGAACAGTGTACGTCAATTTAAAGTATATTTACATTCAAGTAAAATATTCAGTTAATTTGAATCACAACACAGTTTATCTCAGACCAGTGGAAGCACTATTTACAAGAATAATTGCCCTGCAGGGGAAGATTTGAGGGTGGGGTGCAGCATGCTGAATGGGACAGTCAACTTCCTTCTTCCCCTTGTAAATTGCCACCTGCATGGCAAGTCAGCTCAAGGCACACGCTTCCATCAGCACCAATACACATTCAGTGCTCCATGGAAAAGTTTTGGGATGGAGCCCCAGGCCTAGTGGAGACGACAGCAATCAGACTTCAGGAGGGTGTCCTAGTAGCACGTGTGTGACAGAATAGACAATGGGGGCGAACATTATCTATTCTTGGGGACCAGGGGAGCTTCAGGGAGATGCAATCAACAGGAGTAGGTGGCAGGATGAGATCTATTTATTTATTTATTTAACATTTTTTGTATCCTGCCCTTTACAGTGTCTCAGGGCAAGGTGCTTCATGCAAATGGAAGGGGTGCCCAAGAAAGCCCTGCCAAATTTGGTGAACCCCAGGACTGCATCGGATTCATGGGTGGGGTGTACTCCGTATGTGTTGTGCAGCACACAAAACCACAGTGGCCAGCCCTGATCCTTTTAGACTACCATTCAAGGAGTGCAACTGGCTTTGCTGGCTAGGCTGGTGGATGTGGCAGGCCAGAGTATGGTGGGCCACTAATCGCTCACCCATGAGGCCATGCTCTTCGCAGTGGGGAGTTATGGTGGCCATGTTTATAAGGAGGAATCACATTTTGGTGGGTGGGGCAGGGAGCTGCCTTTTCATGGGCTGAATGAGCCCTCAGACCACCATGATTTCCAAGCATTTCCCTTTTGGATGATGCCTCACAGAGCCAACAAACAGTTCTTCTAACCATTTCAAAAACTGGTTAGGAAACTTGGAATGGGAGCTTTCAGCTGCCATCCTATACACAACTGACTGGGAGTGTGTCCCAGTGAAAACAGATGGATTTACTTCTTAGTGCATAATGTATGGGCTATTAGGGAAGGACAATCTCATGTCATATTTAGCACCCACCCCCCACTAAATGAGGGCATGAGATCCTGGTCCTTGCTTAATCATGAGACTGGTGGTGCTGATTCACAAAAACCTTACAAGGCTTCTGTCCTGTCTATGATACAGCCTTCCCCAAACTGACACCCTCCATATGTTTTGGACTGCTATTTTCATCAGCCCAAGCCAAAATGTCCTGTGGGTGAGTTGCAGTTCAGAACATCTGCAAGGCATCAGGTTGCAGAAGGCTGAGATCATGTAATGAATTTGTGGGTTGCTCTGGGGTCACAGAAGAAGTGCAGGTAGAGGAGACAGAGTGCTGTATGGCTCGCAAGCTTTGCATCCCAGCAAATTAAACTATTGAACCGGCTTGTACACAGAATCAGGAGTCCATTTGGATTTCATGAAGTGTTCTTTCTTGTGCCCTGGGATTGCATCTTAGTTCTGCCTCACCAATAATGGGACCTGTTACATGACATAAGAATTGATTTCTATGCTAGATATGGTAAGAAGCTTTGTAGGGTGGACTTCAGTAACCTAAGGCACCATGGTTTCATGCCTATGCACATGAAATGGGATTGTGCTGTAACTGGTTTATTGTTGCTTGGCTTCTGCAGCACATTGGACCTGCTCAACTTCAAGGTGAGACCAACCTTCTAATATTAACAACTTGAATCAAAGATAGAGCTGTGGTGTGTTACATGCACATGCATGTGTTCATGTGTGTGCATGAGGTATTGTATAAAATATCTGTTGCATACCTATTTATGTTGGACTACTATAATGTGAATTTGAACACTTGACTGTATGAAGCTGCTGCATTGAACATATATGAATGAAGCTGCTGCATTTCCATGCTGCCTATTCTAGGTCTCTGATTTGACTGTTGTAGGTCAAATTGATATTAAGAAAGTCCTTGAGGCCAGTCCATTTCAGTTTAAGAATTATGCTCTGAGTGAGTTTGAGGCTTTTTCCTCCTCCAAAATGTGACATTCTGTTGCAGGTGTTTGAGAAGCAAGTTTGGTTGGATGGTTCATTAACATGCCTGTATGCTACTTGATGTAACAAATTAAAAGGGGTTAACATGCTGGCATTTTAAAATACGTATCAATATATTCAACCTATGAACAATAGCAAGTGCCAGAAAAATACGTAGCACAAACTGGGAAAACAGCTTTTAAAACAACAATAGATGTATGGCTTGATTCCCCTCACTTGCATTTCTCCAGCTTCCCTCTGCAGGTTGCTGTCTCTGGTGCTGATTTTAGTTTGCCTTCCTTCTTATAGGGCTACCAGATTCCCAAGGGCTGGAGCGTGATGTACAGTATTCGGGACACCCATGAGACCACCAGCATCTACCAGAGTCCTCCAGATAGCTTTGATCCTGAGAGGTTTTGGACATCACAGGAAGGACAGGAGGAACACAAGGTGGCCGGCTCAACTCGCTTTCATTACATTCCCTTTGGTGGGGGAGTCCGTAATTGTATTGGCAAAGAACTGGCCCAGACTATCCTCAAGTTGCTGGCCATTGAACTGGTCAGCACAGCTCACTGGGAACTGGCTACAGTCCACTTCCCGAAGATGCAAACTGTGCCTATTGTGCACCCCGTGGATGGCCTGCAGCTCTATTTTCATCCTCTGAAGCCTGGAAGAAAAAGCAACAAGGCAAACACTTGAGAAGCATCAGCAGCTCTACTATGTCCTAGGAAAGTGATAGGATGGGTCTCTGGAGCAAAATACCTGCTTCCTTCAAGTTGGAGGTTTTCTGCCTGTAGAAACCCCTTTCTCCTCTCTCCATAGGGGAAGGTAATGAATGACATCCCTGTCCTTGGTGCTTAATGAACAGAGAGCCTGTTAGCATCTAGCATCCTTCAGAGACATCCACCCACGGTGTACAATATCCCTGTCATTCTTAATTGCACTTTGGTTGTCTTTGGTGGTGATGGTGGTATGTGTGGGAGAGGAGATATGCCACCTTGTAACCTGGTTAAGAATGGTCCTAGTTGAAAGCTGAATGTCTCAGAAGACCTCCTGGAAGCATTGATGTCAGTTCTTCCATTTAAGGGAAGATAAGTATTTGCAGGGGTAGAGTTAGGGTGTTGTATGGGCCAGGGATGGACATATAAGAATATTCAGAAGTTCAAACCCAGAACAGACCATAAACTTCAAATACATGGTGGACAGAGGAAGCACTGGAACCCTAATTCCAAAAGATCTAATTTTTGTTAATGTCCTAGATCACTCTTAAAGCAGCATAGCTTATCTGTATTATAAATGGAGAAAATAAAACACCATTGTGACCTGTTTTGCACATAACACTAACCTATGGATTTTTGCCCTACCGAGGGATTGTCTGGCGGACAATTGAACAAGCTGCTTTTGCCTGACACTTCTGTAGCTTGGTGAAACAACTCACGAACAACCAACTCAAAGGTTCATAACCAAATAACAAACTGGAGGTTGTGTCTCTGGTTCAACAAACCATTATGCAACTAGGTTCACACATTATGACATCCCAGAATCCATTGATTCATGGATTAAAAGGATCAAGAGTTAGTGTTATATGTCAATCAGGTCAGTAACAAATTAATCTGCTGGGTTACATTGGAATAGAGAAAGCTGCTCTTTGCAAGTCAGTCCAATTGTTCATGTAGCTCAATACTGCATAACAAGTTCTTCGTCGTGGCCTCTGTGCATCACACATATGGGTGCTGCGCTGCGCAGTGCCTTTGGCCGGAAGATTACAAGCTAACAGTTTTTGGTGGGAAAGCTCCGCTCCCCCTCCCCCATGGCCTATAAAGAGCGGCGCGTCTGCCATTTTGTTCAGTCTTTGTGACCGCCGTTTGCTGTGCCTCGTGCCACTTCGCTATCGCTGACCATTGCTCGTATAGCTGGACTACAGTTCCCACCATCCATAGCCAGATTTGCCAAGTGCTCAGAATGCTGGGCACTGTAGCCCAAAACATTTGGAGGACCTCAGGTCAGGAAAGGCCAGTCCGTGATGACTGGTGGTAGCTCTCTAGGGTTTCAGGCAGCCTGATCCGGAGATGCTGGGGCCTGACTGTGCGACGTCTTCCCAGGCATTGCAGGAGCCCTACCACTCCCCTGCCATCAGCTGGCCTGGCATTCAAACAGCATTTAAAGTTGCAAAATAATTGGGGATTGGGAATGCTTGATAGTCCCAGTCCCCAGAAATAGACCATTTTAGATTTGGTTCACACATTTAAGTATGCTGTTTCCTACTACTTTGCGCCTTGCAGTGGTGTGAACGAATTCCACTGAAAAGCACTATACCTGAAGAAATTTGAAGAACATAGGAATTTGGTGTTGACAGAGTGAGGCCGCTGGTTCATGAAGCCTGATATTTTGGAAGCAGCAGCTCTCCAAGGCTTCAGGACAGAGGTTTTCCAGCCCTGCTTGGAGATTTCAGGGCTTGGACTTGGGACCTTCTTATACAGTTTGACTTGTGATAATGGACATAAGCGTTTTCACACTAAAGCCTATTTTTCCTTTACATCTGACAATGGAGGTACGCGATAAAATGGGCACTACTTCATAAAAGTTTGTGTCATAATAGCATGTTTTAGTCTAGGTGCCAAAAGGTTCTTGGTTGCCTTTGACCTTTTGCAGTTATCAGCAATGAACATGGACAATTCAGCCCTGACACAAGCTGCAAATTTAATACCTTGTGTACTCAGGCTGTTTTCTAGCAGCCCATACCAGACTGCTCATGTCACGCTGATTGAGCTCTGGCCATCTAGCAGGTAAATGCTTGTTTTTGGATTCATCTAAGTGCAAAATAATTCAGACTAATTGGTTTGAGGCTGAGTTCTTGAGTCACAAGAACCCTTCGAACCTCAAAGAAAAGAACTGTTCACAATGAGCCAGTGCTATATTCCATTAAGTATCTTTCATTCAGAAATGATGTCTTCAAATTCCTCAAGAAAAGTTCTAGCTTTGTGCTTAGCACCCTCTTCAGTTGTTTAGGAAACACTTGTAGTCACTGCTGTGGGACTGTGGATGCTCTTAGGGGTGTGCGCTGAGCAGTGTTTTAGTGGAACTAGGGCTTGAGGGTCAAAGCACTGAACTTTCTGATTTGCAGGGTGTCCTCTGTCACCCTCCTGGCAGACTTCCATATAACCTCTGACTTGCACTGCAATCCTGGCAATAGCAGAGGGAAGGAGAAAAAAAATCCATTTCCTGGCAACAATATGCAATAGTGAACTCTCTCTCAAAATACCATAGATTGGAAGTCATGAATGGGCACTGAAGACCCCTTAGCTTTATAAAGACTTGCTCTGAGCGGAGATGAAAAGTGTGAGAATGGGTTTGTTGATATGCCTCTGTTTCAGGACTCTCTTTAGAGGCATGGCTTTGGGGATTGCCATGCTAAGCACTGGTCTGGAGGGCTGGGTTTTAAGATGGACAATGTCAATGTAGAAAGAGAACTGTGGGTAGGTATAATCTCTTTCTCCGTAATCTGGATCATAGGAACTATGTCAACCTTTCCCAATCCAGATGCCTTCCAAATATGTTGAGCCATAACCCCCACATCCCTGACTGGGAGTTATGGGAGCTTTAGTCCAACATGTCAGGATGACACCAGGTTGGGGGAGTATGAACTATTCTATGGGGGAGGGGTCTATATATGTAGGTCAGCTCCTTTAATACCAAGGGTAGGATGTCTTTAGTCCCCCACCTTTGGCCAACACTTCTGCAACAGTAGCTTTCACTTCTGCTACTTACAGGGTTACAGCTGCAAGTGAGCTGTGCCTTCTCTACCTGCACAAGACTTCTGGCAGAGTTTTATTTGAGGGAACAAAGGCAGCCTGTAGTGTAAAAACTGGCAGAAAGTTTGGAAAGGAAGCATGCAAGAACCCACGATAACATGTACTACAGCAGACACGGCAAAAACCCCACTTTTGGCAGCAACCTAGCCTGCACGTGGGGTTCATATGAGTGAATGTTGCTGTCAGTTCTCGGGGACATCTCATTACTGCTGTATGGAGGCACTTTTAATCCTGTGAGCGCCCTCTTCCTGTGGACCAGTGTGGTGCAGCCTAGACAAAGACCACTTCTGTGAGAGAACTAGGTCTTACTTCAGTAGTAGGCAAACTGGCACCATCCAGATGTTTTTGAATGAAGTTGCATAAACCTCAGCCACCAGCGCCAAAGGGCAGGAATTTTGGGAGCTCTACTCCAAAACATCTGGAAGACAAAAGATTGCCTAGCCCTGCCTTAGATGCAGCATTTTAGGTGTTTCTGTGATTCTCTTCTTCCTCAGTATGCATACACTTCATGTAGCCTAGGTTCATCAGAAATTGTAGAACAGTGTTATACGGTTAAACTACTCTGGTGACTGCCATGCCATTACAGTCAAAGGTCTAACGATACACATTCGTTGTAACTCTGCTGTAGAGAATTTAGCAAATCTTTGTTCAGGATTTCAGCAGTGACAAGGATTTTCAATAAATATGTTTTCAGGAATAAAATCAGATTGCAAGCTCTGCCTCATCTTTATTTAAAGTTGGCTATGTCCTAAGTTGCAGCAGAGAATCTTTTGCCTTTGAAGATCCAGTAACCCTTGAGAAAAGGCAATCGGAGACCATGGGCCAGTGTTAGAGCTCAGCCTGCAGGGCTGCACCCATTTCTGTCTCTCTCTCTGCCGCTCTGCCTTTTCTCACTATGTCACTCTACATGAAATCTGGGTGAGGACCACAAACTTCCTTGCTGAAACTCCCAGAAGAAGCTGAAAGCTGGGCTTGTGGTGACACATTCAGACAACCATGTCACTGCATCAGGATCTGAAACATGGTGCCAGGAATATAAGAGGTGAAAAGCCCATTCATTAACCTGGCCAGGTTGATGCTATAGCAAATAGCAACAACAAAGCAACAGGATGTTCACAGAAATAGTCAGAGACACCTTTCAGTTCTGTAACACAAGGCTGATCACCTTCTAGAAGAGCAAAACTTCTCATCCAAACATATATGTACATTACAGCTATAAATAATCTGTATGCTGAAATAATGACTAACGCTGAAGGAATTTTTCAATAATTTAAACTGTGTAATTTATTTTCAAAGGAAAAGCAAAATCTAGCATAACTCTTGAAACTTAGCTCAGATTTAAAAGGAGCATAAAAGTTTGGGTAGAACAATGCTCATGAAGAAATTAAACATATACTCATGCAATCAAACAATGGCCTCATCAGCATGGTTTATTACAGCATTTTTAGAAGTGGTCTTCTGCCATCTTCAGTCACTGCTCAGTTAGGTTCTGCAAATTAGTAAGATCCTGATCTCCTCAATACTGGACAAAATTGCAGTCAGAATAAAATCAGACAAACTAAGTAGAATACACTCCCTCCTCCCTTATGACTTGGGAATGCATCCTGTTGAATTCAGGGGTACTTTCCTCTCACTAAACATGCATAGACAGTGCTATATGATATAAATATGTTTCCACTCACATTATTTCCACACGGACAAGGCAAAATTCATTCTTAGAAAGGAGCTAGAAACAAGTTGTTTCCCCCGAGCAATATCCCTGTATACCCCTAATATAATTCATCACCACACTAAAGAATCAGCTGTTATCAAGTAGATCTTAGATGTCCTAAAGACCTTTTGACCTCCTTGAGTGATTTTTTAAATTTAACAAAATGTGCTTCGGCCCAGCTTTTAAAATATAAATAGTGAAGATTTATCAAAATGGACAAGGTGCTATTGCTATGAATGTTCATACATAAATCTCCTTTTGAACAGGGCTAGGAAACGTGGAAGTACCCAAATTTTCAACTACAGCTCTCATCAGCCTCAGCCAGAATGACAAATGAACAGGGATTATAGGAGCTGTTACCCAAAATGTATACTCTGACCAAGAAGCACCCATCACAAATGGACCTGTGTCCCAGTCACTCTTTCAGTTCAGTGTTTTCCCAGAAAAGACATACTGTTTTAGATATTTTCAGATGCAGAGACTGGCCGATCTAAATGCTCCATCTGTTCATTTGCTGCTTTTTTTGCATTTCTCTCTACTTCTGTCCGAATGTTTTGTGGTTTTGAACACTGAAATTACATTTGGAAAATTGGAAACTACATCCATGAACATGCTGGCAGAGAGGCCAAGATGTTTTGCAATCAGTATTCTGTCAAATGGATCATTAAATACTGGAGAGACCTAGGACTGAAGCTCACCTGACTGGAGGAAACTATAGAAAAATCAAAGAAAGCCCGAGTGAATGGAAGAAGCTTTGGTTACGATGAGGACTCCTAAGATAAAACAGAAAAGCTTAGCTCAGATAATCATTTTCTGCTGATCAATATCCTCCACACTGATGGAATGGCAATTAGTAATTGTAGGATTTACATGGACTCATTAAAAACCCCCAAGAGTTAAAAGCATCGTGCTGATCTTAGGGGGCAGTGCTGGCATGCAATCTTACGTGTATCTACATGCAGATGGCAGTCTAAATGTCTTCCCCCTTCCTGTGAGCAAGAGAGGCTGAGGCACCACTGGGATCTTCAGAGAGCAGTGGTGGCTTGCCGTTCACCTCCCAACCCCCCAGAAGTGTACCCCATGCTGACCTCAAAAACGGTCTTTTGCCTTCGGAGCCCGGCCCGAGTAGGAGGAACCATGCTGGCTGTGAGCACAAGGGGAGGGCCTTCCAAGGGCAGTTTTCACTCCCACCATGGAGTGG